TTTTTTCTAATAGATGAGTAAAATTCTATTGTATATATGGAGATGACATTTTTCTTGATCCATTCACCCACTGAGGAGCATCAGGCCTGTTTCCCTACCTTGGTTATGGTGAATAGTGCTGCAGTGAACATAGTTGTGCTGGTGGCTTTTCTGTATCTTAGTTTGTAATCTTTTGGATAAATGCCAAGGAGTGATATTGTTGTGTCTCAGGGAGGCTCTATGTTCTTTTTGTTTGTTTTAGTTTTCCTGTCGTAGGGCTTTAGCTCAGGACCTGTGCACTGTCCTGAGCTCTTTTGCTCAAGGCTGGTATTTTACCACTTTGAGCTACAATGCCACTTCTGGTTTTTGAGAGGCTAATTGGAGTGTCATGGGGACTTGCCTGCATGGGCTGGCTTGGAATGGTGATCCTCTCAGATCTTAGCCTCCTGAATAGATAGGATTACAGCTTGAGCCACCAGCATCTGGTTTCATTTTTTGAGGAATCTCCATACTTCTTTCCAGAGAGACTGAACAAATTTACATTCCCAATAGTGTACTAGGGTTTCTTTTCATCCACATCCATGCCAGCAACTGTTTCTGTTTATATGCTTGATGATGGCCATTGTAGCTGGAGTGAGAGGAAATCGCAGTGTTTTTTGATTTGCATTTCCTTGATGGCCAGCAGAATTGAGCATTTCTTCATGTGTCTATTGGCCATTTTTCTTATGAGACTGCTGAGAATTCTCTAATTTAGCTCATTTACTCGTTTATTAATTGCGTTGTTGATTCTTTAAGGGTTTAGATTTTCAAGTTCTCTGTATATTTTGGATATTAGCTGGCAAAAATTCTTTAAATGATGGCTAAAACTCAAGCCAGAATCACAGTTGTAGTCTTTGCTACTCAAGAAGATTGCAATTCACCAGCCAAGTTGGGAAAACCCTTGAGACTCCATCTCTAGTTAGCCAGCAAAAGGTTGGTCATGGCTCAAGTTGTAGATTGCCAGCCAAGCACGTATGAAGCCCTGAGCTAAAACCCCTGTACTAGCAAAATAAAAAGTGATGACTAAGACTCAGTAGTGAAGCTATTTGGTCCTGTACATTTGAGGGAAGACATTTTAAAAATTATTACTCTGAGTTAATCCTATTGTCAATAGGTTCTTGCTCTCTGATTTCAGTTTGGGGAAGGAATAGTATACAGAAATTTGACCATTGCCTCTAGGTTATCAAATGTGTTTGCTATATATATACTTGTTCATGATCTCTAGTGATCCTTTGTATATTTTTGTGGTATCAATTACATCTCCCTTTTCATCTGATTTGATTTGAGTTTCTTAAATAGCCATAGGTATTCTAGATCACGTGACCAGTCATACATATAAAATAGAAATAAATTTGTTTCTTGTAACCAGCACAAATCTTAATATTAAGAGAAAATAAGCCCAGTATGATGGTATAACCCTGTAATCATAGCTGCTCAGGAGGTGGAGATGAGAGAACAATGGGTTTGAGGCCAGCCTGGGCAAAGTTAGTCATATACTCTCTCAAAAACAAAATAAAAACAAAAGCACACTTGAAGTGGTAGAGCAATTGCCTAGCACGTACAGTGCCCTGGGTTCAATCCCTAGTGTGGGAAGAAAAAGTCAGAGATTGCATTTGAAGGCAAGGCTCAGGTGGTAGAGCACCTTTGAGAAAAAGTCAGACTCTGATTTCAAGTCCTAGTTCCAGATGAAAAAAAAATTAGAGATAATGGTGCATTACCTCCAAAGACCAGACTGTTGTGTACTCTGCTCACTTAGGCCAGCAAATCAACTCCTTGGACTTGTGAAGTGTAAATAAATATAAATAGATACATTTCTTAGGTCTAGTCACAGTTGACTGAACACTTAGCTCTAGGGAGCTTTTGTGTAAAGCTACAACTATTCACATTAACTAGATTCAAATAAAAGCTATCTCAACTTTCAATTTACCATCTATGTTTATTCAACAGTTCAGAATAAATAAATAAAGCTTACTGGAACCAATGACAAGTTATACTAGCAATAAACCTTTTGGGGGTTTTGGAGCAGGATAATATTCCCTTTTGGAGCAACTCTTCTATTTTTCAGCAAATGTTAGTTTTGGCAATTCTGCAATAGCAGAAATCCATCGATCAAAGCAGTTTGTTCAGGACTGGACATTAAGTTATATAGCTATAAAAATGTTACATTTGGAGCAGCAACCAATTGTAACTCAGAAGCCATAGATTCAAGATTGGGCTCATTCAGACCTCAAGGACAAGACCTCCTCCACCACACCACCACCTCCTCCTCCTCTTCCTCGGTGTTACTGTTGTTGTACAAAGGGAATTGTTTTGTCACATGCTGTCTCCTCCCTGATGGAGGCATCTTTCTTGGAAGGGTTGTTATGTTTGAACTACAGTGTGGCCCCATAGTTGGGGCTTCAATACTCAGTGCAGCTGGAGTTAATGGTATTTAGATAATGGATAATGGATAATGGAACCATCTCAAACAGATGGTGACTTGTGGGAGCAAGTGTGGTCTCATCGGAGTGTGTTCTCACTCTCCTCAGGCTGGGTTAATTACAGTATGAGTGGATTGTTAGAAGGCATCACGCTGCTTTGTGAGTCATCCACCATTTGATGCTCTGTATCACATGACACAATGTAAGGCTGTCATCAGGCACAGCCACTGGATCTTGATCTTCCTTGTAGCTACAGCTATAGGCTAAAGAATCTCTCTCTGTCTCTGTCTCTCTCTCTCTCTCACACACACACACACATTCTCTCTCTCTCCTCCCCCTCACTCTGTTTTGTGTTTGTTGCTTTGGTGCCTGTCCTGTGGCTTGAACTCAGGGCCTGGGTGCTGTCCCTGAATTTTTTGCTCAAGGTTAGTGTTCTACCACTTGAACCATACCTCCACTTCTGACCTTTTGGTGGTTAATTGGAGATAAAGAGTGTCAGGGACTTTCTTGCCTGGACTAGCTTTGAACCATAATCCTTAGATCTTGGTCTCCTGAATAGCTAAAATTACAGGTATGAGACCCAAGTTTCCAGCTTGGAAACTTACTTCTTCATCAGGGATTTTGTTAGAGCAGTACTAAAAGAAAAAAGATAAAGACAAGGAGCAATTGTTTATGTCTATTGGACACAGGATGAAAAGATCCATATCTTGATTACTTCTGGCCCCAGTATTAGTGAAAAGCAAGCTAGTTAGGATTACATCCCATCTCAGGGAGAGGGGGGCATAAAACCAATTCGAAAGTTCTTTATGGCTCTTGTGCTTGGCAGAGACTGGTGTATAGTTAAGGTTGGCCTGCATCCTGGGAACTAGTAATTAATTTGTATAACTAGCTAAGGAGGGAAAGGAGGAAGATTTCAGGAAGAGGATGCCAAGATGGTTTAGGGAAGTTGTACAGGAAGTCTAGAGTAGATAGATGTCAGTTTGAACATACGTAAGTAGATGCTTACAAGTTTCCCAACCAGGGATTTGTGATAGTTAATTTTGGTTATTACAGTTTTCCATCACCAGTAAGCCATCTTCCTGGTCTTGCCTAGTAGTTTTTAGATGAGAATAATATATAAGGTGGCAACTGAGACAGGGATGAAGGCCACACATGGTTTCATCAGCTCAAAATTCCTCCACTCACCACTTTGAGTACCATTATGTCAACAATAGGCTGAATTCCAGTTTGCTATTGTTTTGGAATGCTAGCCAGTCAGCTGGTAACAAGTAGACAACTTTGATCCTTTTCTGGTGAAGAAAGGCAAGTATTTTTCTCTGAGCTAACCACTTATTGCTTGCTTTCTTTATTCCTTTCTCCTTTCTTCCTTCACTCCCTCCCCTCCCTCCTTCCCTCCCTTTACTTTTTTTCCTTCCTTCCTTCCTTCCTTCCTTCTTTCCTTTCTTTCTCTTTCTATCTTTCTTTTTCATTTTTTTGTTGGTCATGGGACCTGAACTCTGGGCCAGGGTGCTGTCCCTCAGCTCTTCAGCTCAAGGCTAGCTCTCTACCACTTGAGCCAGAGTGCCACTTCTGGATTTCTGGTGGTAAACTGGAGATGAGTCTCACAGTTTTTCCTGCCTGGGCTGGCTTGAAACGTGATCCTCAGATCTCAGCCTCCTCAGTAGCTAGGATTACATGTATGAGCCACCAGCACCCGGCTTTTCTTTTGTTCATTTGTCCGTCTGTCTGTTCATCTGTCCATCCATTGTGGGGGCTTTAACTCAGGGCCTGGAGCTGTCCCTGAGCTTTTATGCTCCAAGCCAGTGTTCTACCACTTGAGTCACAGCTCTATTTCTGCATTTTTGGTTGGTTCATTGAAGACTCTCATAGACTTTCCTCCTTGGGATGGCTTGGAAACAGATCCTCTCAGATCTCAGCTTCCTGGGTAGCAAGGATTACAGTTGTGAGCCATCAGCACCCAGCTGATTGCTTTCTTTTTTATGTCCAATATGCCTCAGCAAGCACAGCAATGTTATGGGCTCATTGCATACTTCATTCACTGCTTTGAAACATAAATGTATATATACATGCGTGTATCTATACACATACATATGTGTATATGTGTATATACCTGTGTCAATGAAATTTAGCAAAGGCCTGTGTAAAAATGAGAAGAGGAATGGAATGCAACTGGAAAATTCAAACGCAAAGGGATGGCAGAACTCGAAGGCTGTGCCTGAATGTGGGAGTGTTCGTGTGAAAAGAAGAAATGCTTCAAAAATGGGGGGAGTGGAGATAAACTAGAGAGAATAATGAGGTCACAGTGTTTTGGGACTGCACTTCCACCAAGCAGTGAGAGGAAAGATGGACAGACACCACACCCTGGCCTAAGGGCAGATGCACATTGGCGAATCATGATATATGTCTCCATTTCTTCTTGACTTGCAGAATGCTTATTACGTGACACAAGGACTGGGGCAAAGTGTTTGCACAGCCGCATTTATTTATTAGACCTAGTGGACAAGAGAATTCCTTATGAGGATTCACTCTTTTTTTCTTTTTGAGTAAGATAAAAATCCACTTATGAAATAAATACAACTGGAAAGGCAGTATTGGAATTAGCTGGCAGACCCACTGGATCTAGAGGAGCCAGAGGAGTAGCTGGAGCTGGAGGACTGGGACTCTGCACACAGGTCCAAACAGGAGCAGCTTGTGATGTGCCGGTATCTGTAAGGTAGTGTCGTGTCATTGGCACAGTCCAGTACAGCATCTCTGAACTCGTAGTTCTCTTCTCGGCAGCAAAGGCAGGAATTTTCCAGTTGAAACTGTTCATAATTATACCTGAGAGAACAGTAATCAGCAACCATTATTTTGGAATAAATGCTCAAATTCAAATTAGCTAGGTGATGTAACTAACATGCCTTCCAAACAAAATGTGCTTCTCTCCCTAAACCTTCCATTTCCTCCCCACCCCTCCTACTGTAAACATGACATAAATCAGTGATAATTAGTATAGGAGACCAAAATAAGGAGCACATGAGGGAATCTGATAATTAATTAGAATAATTACACTGCAAGAACAGATTTTAAATATTCTATAGAATACCAAATTGTTCTTCTCCTAAATCTATATGTCAGAATTGTACATAAGGGCTGGGAATGTGGCTGAGTGGTAGAGTGCTTGCTTCACATACATGAGGCCCTGGGTTTGATTCCTCAGTACCACATAAACAGAAAACGTCGGGAGTGGCTCAAGTGGTAGGGTGCTAGCCTTGAATAACAGCAGCTGACAGTACCCAGGCCCTGAGTTCAAGCCGCTGGACTGGCAAAAAAAATGGTACATAAAGAAAAATACCTAATGCTATTTAGATCTCAAACTCAAATTTAAGAAATGCACTTCCTGTTTTAGTCATGATGTGTGTGAAAACATTTGTCACAAGTGCACCTCAAAGTGATCTATCACTATTAACAAATGGTTCTTTTAAGTTTGTAAATCTTACTATCTCAGATATGTCTCATTGTGTTCTGATAACCAAACAGTATGACATTCATATATAAAAATATTTCCAGCTGGGCACCAGTGGGTTACAGCTGAAATCCTAGCTATTCAGAAGGCTGAGATCTGATGATTGTGGTTTAAAGGCAGCCAGGAAAAGAAAGCCCATGAGACTCTTAACTACCAAAAGAGACAGGTGTGCTAGCCTTGAGCAAAAAAACCTCAGGGACAGCACCCAGGCTCTACATTCTCACACTCTCACTCTCTCTCTGTTTCCTCCCTCCACAAGGTTACAAAGTGAATGTACAGTAACCACTCCAAACAATACTCACTTGACAGTCTTTTTGCATTCCCCTATGCATCTTGCCATTTCAATCTTCTTCTTGCAGCCATTGTACTTGATAGTCACATTCACAGGAGTAGGTCTGCAGTCATTCTTACCTGTGAACAAAGGATGATATTTGATGATAGGGAACAATAAGCTCAGCAGTGTAATTAACAATAACCTCACAGTGTTATGAAGGGGAATAAATATCTCAGCCTCTATCATCAATGAACCTGGTTAATAATCATAAATGATATCTTAATGTTTCTCCTTTATCTCCTGGCTGATCATGCTATGGCTCTAATAACACCAATGGATAATAGCAATGGCCCATGAAAATGTATTTTTCTCCTTGTAGTCCATAAAGAGGTTTTACAGTGAGAAATGTAACCCTACTCACTACCTATATGTTATGAATAAATATCAATTGGTAATTCATATACAGGTTAGATTTAACTGTTGTGTTAATATTTGACTATTCTGCCATTTTGTTTTAAATGCTTCAGCAGCTTATATTTTCTTAACACAGAGAGGGTTACTTACATTTATAGCAACATTTGTTGGAATCATAGATTCTATTTTCCTATAGGGATAAAAGAAGGAAAAAGGAATTAGAACAGGAAACTTTTTTTTTCATTTTTTGGTCTTGTTTATTAAAATTATTTTTAAGTTTTACAAAGGACTTGCCATTTAACAAAGCTTTTATGGATACAATGCATCTTGATCAATGTTTGGTCCTTTCAACATTCTCACTCACCCCTTCCCTCACTCTTCTTAGGATATACATTGCATTCTTTTTTTTTTTTTTGTCGGTCGTGGGGCTTGAACTCTGGGCCTGGGCGCTGTCCCTCAGCTCTTCAGCTCAAGGTGAGCGCTCTACCACTTGACCTACAGCGCCACTTCCGGTTTTCTGGTGGTTTATTGGAGATAGGAGTCTCACCGTCTCTCTTGTGCGGGCTGGCTTTGAACTGTAATCCTCAGATCTCAGCCTCCTGAGTAGCTAGGATTACAGGCATGAGCCACCAGCGCCTGGCTATACATTGCATTCTTGACTGCATTCTCTCTCTCTTCTCTTCAGTTGTCTACCCCTCTCCCCTTGGCCCCACTTCACCCCAAGTATTTTATTGTGTTGAATTCTGATTTGGGCTTTCTAAAGAATAACATTATTTGAGATCTCCTGAATCTACCATCTTGTAGTTAATACATTTTAATACAATTTGGATACCATCTAATATATTGAAGTCTATAAGCTAAATCTAGCTTCCACATATTCCATATTCTCTGAGCCTGACTCACGTCACCTAACATAATTTACCCAAGACTTTCCTTGCGTTAACAATGGTAAAACCCTTCTTTCTAATGGATAAGCAAAATCTCATTGTAAACATAGAAAAGGAAAACTTTTAAGCAGTATAACACACTTGTTCTTCTTTATATTGAGGTTTGAACTCAGGGCCTTAAGCTTGCTAGGTAGACACTCTACTACTTGAGCTATGCCCCCAGCCCTAACGTTTCTTAATTTATTGAAAGATGGTACGTTAACAGGCTGATAGAGTTTAGTAGTAAAAATGAAACTGTGTGGACTGAAATCGCTCAAGATGAGAAAGAGAAACTCAATATTTAAATTCTAAATTAATTTAAGTAATACTTGAATGATATCCAGACTTTATAAGCTTCTTACGGTCAAGTTTTATACCTTATGCTTTGTTACGATTTCAGACATACCAAGGTCTCAAAAAATTGCTCAATAAAATATTTTTTAATCCACTGTTAATGCTCTAAAACTATCATTTTCCTCAAATTTTAATTTAAAATATAGTTTAAAAGTATTCAACAAATGTAAAAAATCCAACATTTTGGGGAAATGGATATGAACAGGATTGTGGCACAAAAATAGATAATGAATAGTATACATATGTGATTTTGGAAAACTAGGAAATGTTTTTGCAGAAGCTCATAGATTCAGGTTAATCAAAGGTGCTCTTTTTCCCCTTTCAGATAGCACAATGAGCTAGTATTGTGGTATTTGTCTATAATGCTAGGCGCTGGGAAGGCAGGATAAGAGGATTAGGGTGTGAGACCCTACCTCAAAAACAAGTGAAGTATGAGGTGCTCAATGTATTCTCCACTTCTTAGAGGGCAAAAGTAGGAGGATGACGGTCCTACGCTAGCTCAGAAAAAGTACAAAACCCTATCTGAAAAACTTATAAGCAAGAAGAATGTGAGAATGATTCATGTGGTAGAATGCTTGGCCTAACAAGTAGGAGATTTTGAGATCAATTCCCAATGTCATAAAAAGAAACCCAGGACGTCTTTTACATAGTGTCACTAAATTTTATAGAGCCTGAACACTAAGAGAACGAAACTTGTATATGAAAAATAAAGGGCAGACATGTGTAGACTCATCTGTCTATGCAATAAACTGTAAAGAGCAACAAGATTGGTGTCTTTTGGCGAAAGGCCAACATTTCCAAATGAGAAAAGGATTTGTGTTTGACACATGGTGCACTCCTGCTGATCAGGGATGGAAAGCCAGCTCACCTCTGCACACCAGCTCTGCTTGGGGCAGTCTTGGACTACTGCCTCTATGCCCCTGTGGCTGCACAAGTAGGAGACACATGGATTGCTGAGATCAGCAAATGAAGCACCGATCTGGAAGGCAAGGGCAGGAAGAAAAATGACTTGCCTTGATTTCTATTTGAAGTCGACATTGAACTTTTTTTCTTTTGAGTTCAGGCTTGTTTAGTCGGCCTTTTAAAGCATTAAGTTGAGATTTATTATCAGCTACTAGATTCATACTTATTATGAAAAGGTAATTTGATAGTATTCCATATATCATCTGCAAATTAAAACTTACCAACAGTTATTTTCTTATAGTTGGAACTTTTCAAAGGATTGAGGATAGTAAGCAAGAAATTTCACTAATAATTAAGCTTCGTATTTAAAGGAAAACAAATTGCAACAAAGAATAAGTCTTTCCAAATGACTTTTTCCTTGCTTCTACTCTTATATATTTCCAGCTCTCCTCTCTAGGGCTGGAATTAACTTATAATCCACAATAATGAACTTACAGTCCACAGACTGAGAAACTGAATTTAAACTTTCTGACAAACTTGATTTCTTTCTTTCTTTCTTTTTTTTTTTTACTATTTCACTTTTTTTTTGGTCATGGAGCTTGAACTTGGGACATAGGTGTTGTCCCGGAGCTCTTTTGCCCAAGGCTAGCACTCTACCACTTGAGGAAAAGCTCTACTTCCAGTTTTCTGGTGATTGATTGGAAATAAGATGCCCAGGCTCACTTTGAATCACCATCCTCAGATCTCAGCCTCCTGAGTAGCTAGGATTACACATATGAGCCACTGGCATCTAGCTCATTACTGGAAAACTTGCTCCTTTTATATTTTAATAGTTTTCTAATTTTATTGTTAAGTAGGTGTACAAAGGGGTTTCAATTCAACACGTAGTTGATGAGCTTACCGCATCTTGATCACTATTACCCCTTCCATTATTCTCCCCCATCTCTCCCAACTCCACACATCCCCTCAAGTTTCCTAGTTCTATGTTCATATTTTTTCCTAGTTCAGGAGCTCGCACTCAGGGCTTGGGCATTGTCACTGAGCTTCTTTTGCTCAAGGCTAGCACTCTACCACTTGAGCCACAGTGCCACTTCTGGTTTTATCTGTATATGTGGTACTGTGGAATCAAACCCAGGGCTTCATGCATGCTAGCAAGCACTCTTCCACTAAGTTACATTCCCAGTCCCTATTTTACATTGAATATTAAAACAACATTCTTCCACCCTGCTTCTTTTCATTTGTCTACCCACCTCCCTGTAACCTCCCCCACCCCAGACTTCAGGTTCTAGCTTCTTGGTATTCATTTTGTCCAACTGCAAGTTAGTTGTTCAAAGGAGTTACAACATTGCAATCCTCTGTATATCACAGGCACTAGTTATTGCAATCATCTGCATAGAACATACGCTGGTTGTGACATTTGTGTGTTATGCTTTAGACATCATCCTGCTTTGTATTTGAAATCTATCATAGGGTCTTAGCTTTCATCAACTTCGGAAACTAAAAATTTAGAAGCCCAGATGGGAAGCTGATTATAGAACACACCTTATGAAAAGTAAAATTCTCCTGAGTGGCTTCTATGTCTTTATAGTAACATATCCCATATATTTTAAAATATTTAATATCACCAGACTAATAAAGCATATTCATAACTTGAGAATTTTGTGGCTTTTACAGCATCTTGGAAATTAAATTACTGACCGAAATGTGAAGTTATCTGTCAGACTCAGCCCTGTGTAAATTGTGTTTATATTCATACAGAGTGGATTTCAGTCCTTTGAGTTTTACTTGTTTTTTTTTTTTATACTGGGACTTAAACTCAGGGCCTGGGCACTGTCCCTGAATTTTTCTTGCTCAAGGCTGGTACTCTGCCATTTGAGCCACAGTGCCACTTCCAACTTTATATGGATCATTGGAGACAAGAGTCTCACAGACTTTCCTGCCCCAACTAGCTTCAAACCATGATCCTACAATCTCAGCCTCCTGAGAAGCTAGGATTACAGGCATAAGCCACGGGGTGCCTGGCCTTTTGGGTTTTCTTATTTGATCTCTGACAGCTTGGCTGTCTGATCTTTTGGATTATAATTACAGTTCACTCTGTTCATTGACTTGAATCTTACAGAAGCTTCGTCTGGCAAGACCCCAGGAAATCCTGTTCAGAGGCTCCCCTGCTGGCAATCACATGTTCTTCTCCTTTGGAAAGAACTGTAGTGAGTGCTGCGATTGATATTCCTTTAGAAATGAATGTGGGATGGGGGGAAACTTATTCCATTCCATCATTTCCAGTGGGATTTTTTTCATATTATACAGGCTGAAAGACCCTTGGTGTGTAGCTCAGTATTGTATTTTTTTACATAAGTATATCAATACTTGAGGGAAAAACCTTACCTCATAGTCAGTATTGTTAAATAAACATGTCCTTGGTTCTGAAAAATAAATGCATTATTTTAATTTAAAATCATGTATATTTTCACTGATCCAAATGATGAGCTCAGACTTCTAAAACAATCCTGTTTTCGAATACCACAATCTCCTTTTAAACTACTGATTCTATTCATAATGGTTGATTCTGGGTTCCCCTCCTCCCATAGTTGGTAAGTTTTAAGAAGTAAATACGAATTGTGGATTTTTGTGAGAACTTATTTTTGCATATGACACACGGTGGCTCAGAAGCCTCTCTTGCATGTGAATGCATAATGGATCACTTCAATTCAAACAACACATTATGAGTCCATACCGCAGTGTCCAAGTTCACAGCAGGAATCATTTGATTTAAGCAGGATGAGCTTCTCTCCGGTCCTGCAGGTGGGTGGGGAAGGACACTCTTTTGGTTTGCAGTCTAAGGCCTGTGCATCCGTGCAGGTGCATTGGTGACAATTAGCAGTCCAGGTGTCTCCAGGCTACAGGTACAAACCATGTTTAGACTTTTCTTCAAACACAGGAACCAAAGCCAATTTGGATTCAAGTGGAATAGAACTGTGTACTTACCGATTTTTCTTCTCCCAGTGGTCCATGACAAACTGTTCACATGGAACGATAAAGGCTAATTAAATTTGGCAAACTACACCCATCTGTTATTTATAGATAACAGGCAGATGGCCAAAACTGTAATTGGCACAAGGATTCTAGCGTTATAGAATTATGAAGGATTTTACGGTGCCTTAAGGTGAATAAATTGCATCCACCTACTTTAAGCAGACGGTCCCTAAGAAGCTTGTTATTTTTATAATGACCAGGAAAAGATAATTCTTGATTTCTCCTGAAAGTGGTCAATAAAATATTTTAGCTACTGTCTAATTGACAGGATCATAGAGTCAGAAATCAAAGTTAATAAAGTAGTAAGAATCATTAAGGCAATAAAGGTATAACACTCAAAGGCCCTTCCTTAGTGTTTGATTGGTTCTAGGGCTTAAACTCAGGGCCTGGGTGCTGTCCCTGAGCTTTTGTACTCAAGGCTCATGCCATATCACTTTAGCTTTTTTGGTGCTTAACTGCAGATGAGAGTCTCAAAAACTTTCCTTTTCAGGCTGGCTTTGAACCACAATCCCAGATCTCAGCCTCCTGAGTAGCTAATATTACAGGTATAAGCCACCAGTAGTGGAGCTGTGGCTAAAGTGCTAGAGTGCCAGCCTTAAACACCGCTCCCCCCCCCCCCAACAAAAAAGCTCAGGGACAGTGCCCAGAGCAGTGAGTGCACCCACTTACACAAAATACACAAATACAAGGAAGAACTAGCAGATAGGTTTTCTTTTTTCCTTCTAAAAAAACAAGGTGTATTTTATTTGACTATATTTATTGCGAGAAAAACTATTTGGTGAATGACAGCTAGATGGATAAAGTTCAAGGGCAGGTGACTTTTGTGGGAGTGACCTCTGAAATGTGACTTATGAGAAGAAGCATTACTACGGAGTGATTCTAGAATGGAGATATTCTTACCTGGGGCTGGTGGAGCAGTGGCTGGACACCCTGCGTGAATAGAAAGTGTGTTAGTTTCAAATGTTACTGGAATAGTGTAAGGGGTTGGGGAAAGTGTAGTGACCTCGTTCATTCTCCTACTGCCAAATAGGCTGGCTCTAACTTTGCTTGCCTTGATTCTTTATCTTTCTGATGCTACCACTTGAGTGCTGACTTTACAGGCATGCATCACTACATTTGGCCTACTGTCTTCTTGGTCTGTCTCAATCATTCAAATGCCTTTCAAACTGCTCACCAAAAAAATGTATCCTTCTGAGAAGCCATCCATGACAGATCTGGGTCAACCTAATAGTCCACTCACAAATCTCAAATTCAGGGGCTGGGTATGGTGGAACATGCCTACAATCCCTGCTACTTGAGAGATGATGGTTGGGAGGATTATTCTTCAAGACGAGAACAGGTAAATAGAGACTAAGACTTCCATTTCAACAAACAGGCCGAGTGTGATTTGTGCCTAATCCCAGCTATGAAGGAGAGGAGGGGGGGGGGACATAGCTGGCCCCAGGCTCAAATGCAAAACCTAAGATCTATCTGGAAAATAAAGCAAAAGTAGAGCTGGCTGTGTGGTTAAAATGGTTTGGTACCTGCTGAGCAAATAAGAGATCCTGAGTTTAACCCTAACATTTGCAGTTTTTAAAAATGTTCTATTTAAAGCCAGGCCTTGGTGGCTTACACCTGAAATCCTAGGTACTCACAAGGCTGAGATCTGAAAGTCTTGGCTCAAAGCCAGCCAGGGCAGGAAAGTCCATGAGACTCTTACAATCTCCAATTAACTACCAAAAAAAAAAAAAAGCTGGAAGTGGAGGTGAAGCTCATGTGGTAGAGCACTCATCTTGAGTGAAAATAGCTCAGGCGCAGCACCCAGGCCCTGAGTTCAAGCCCCAAGACTGGTACCAACATGGTTTTTCTATTTAAAAGCTGCTAAAAAGTCAAATTACTATTTTGATTCTGCTTACTTAAAAAAAAAAGACGGGTAGCAGTAAGAGAATACTTAAAAACACATCCGTATTTGCGCATGATTAAATTTGACTATGCCAGAGTAATATTTTTATAATGAGACTGGAACCCAGGGTTTCACATTTGCTAGGCAGCCACTCTCTCATTTGAGACACACAGCAAGGTAGCTTTTAATTACAGATTGTTAGCAGATGGGATCTTAAGTTTGGAACTAAAACCCACCATAAAACCTTCTCTACTTGCCAATCTCCTTTCCTCCTTAAACCTTATATAGACATGGGCAACTAACATCCGGTGATTCCTGAACTCACCCCCATGGGTGGGTGACAGGTCTTTCAGTCAATATGAACCTCAGTTATTGTTTTCTGCTGCTTTCACACAAAACTACCAACTTAAACAGAAATGAACACCCCACTCTTCTCCACAGTACCATTGTTGTTTAGGTTATTATACATCTGTATCCATAATCTCACACAGCCTCCAAAATTATTAAATCCAAGCGTTATATCTTCCTGATGGTTTTGCTCTTAATATATGCTGCAGGGTAACACTGATATTAAACTGCTAATGGAATGAGTAATTAGAGAAATGCTAATTGAATGAGTAATAAGAGTTGTGCCCATACTAACCTGTTACATTTTCAGCTTCCACATTCCTTGTTGATACTACAGTGGATTCTGAGGGGAGAGTAAAAAGAAGCCATTGTGATTATTTTTTGTGTGAGATAGAACTGGGGCTTCACACCGATTGACACTTTTCTGCTCAAAGCTAGTGCTCTACCTCTTGAGCCATCTCTCAATTTACAGCCTTTTCTGGTTATTAGAGATAAGAGTCTCAGGGACATTTCTGCGTGGGTTTGCTTTGAATTGAAATCCTCAAAGCTTAGCCTCTTGAGTAGCTAGGATTATAGGTGTGAGCCATGAGTGCCCATCCTGGGATTTTTAAATCAAAATAAGAAGAATATATATCGAACCGGGTGCCAGTGGCTCACGCCTGTAATCCTAGCCACTCAAAAGGCTGAGATCTGAACATCTTGGTTCCAAGCTGGCCTGGACAGGAAAGTCCATGAGACTTTTATCTCCAATGAACCACAAAAAGCCAGAAGCAGAGCTGTAGCTCAAGTGATAGGGCACTAGCCTGGAGTACAAAAGCTCAGGGACACTGTTCAGGCCTTCAGTTCAAGCCCCAGGTCTAGCACATATAACATACACAAAGTTCAAAACAAATACATTGTGTGTACAGGGCTAAATAGTGCCACGGGGTCCCTCATGTGGAACAGATAATTCATTCTACTTTATTTGAGTCTCTTCCTTTTACGTGGCTGGGATACTTGGGGGCCTGTTGTGGCTGTCCCAAAAGTAGCACCTGGCGAAGCAAACAAACACAATTTCAGGAGTAACATCCCTCCTAACCTCCTCCTGGGAAATCCTGAACTACAGGAGTAAGTCCTTGACAGAAGAAGTTCTGGCAAAAGATGATTATAGGAGGATCACAGGCCATTCTAGTTGAACTGGTTTAGTTCTAGTTTAACTCAGAAGGATTGTTTCAAAAGGAGCTATATCCCAGCTTCCTGCCTTCCTCTTAGGTTTTTTTTTCCTTTCCTCTTTCCAGCCACCCCTTCTTCTAAACTTATCTGTTGTACAGACAATGCCAGAGGCTGCACTGAAGAGGTTTGTATTGCCAGCATTCACCTGTTTGTGCTCGACTTCCTGAGGTTTCTTCTACCCTAGCAGAAGTAGAGCCTGCCAACAAAGGAATAAACATGGTGAGTGCAGGGGACTAGAAAAATAGGGGAATTTCAGATATTAATAAAAGATAGGCTGGCAGGCTGGGAAGGTGGCTTAGTTGTAGAGTGCTTGCCTATTTGGCATGAAGCCCTGGGTTCAATTCCTCAGTACCTCATAAACAGAAGAAGCCAGAAGTGGAGCTGTAGCTCAAGAGGTAGAGTGCTGCTAGCCTTGAGCAGAAGAAGCTCAGTGACAGTGCCCCGGCCCTGAGTTCAAGCCCCAGGACTAGAAATTTAAAAAAAAAATAGGATGGCTTATCTTTAAGTTGTTGTAAAAAGAGGTTTCAACGCAATATGTCAGTCTAGGAGAATAATGCATCTTGATCAAAGTTTTTACCCCTTCCATCATTTTCCCCATCACCTCAACTTTCCCATTTCCGTTTTCACACACACACACACACACACACACACACACACACATTGAATATCATAGCTCTATTCACCCGCACTTCCTGTCTCCATTCCCCTCCCCTTGGCCTCATCCCTCATCACCTCAGACCTCCAGTTCCAGTTTCTTGGTGTTTATTTTATTAGACTGTAAGTTATTCAAAGGAGTTACACCATTGGCATTCTTTCTTGCATATACTCTACATTTTTAATATGTTTGTGTACTTATGCATATGACCTGTATATATTTGAATACGTATTTATAAATTAGCTCTAACTACCACAAAAGAGGGGAATCATACATCCTTTGGCTCTGGGGGCCTGACTTCACTTAAGTTTCTCTAGGATGATTCAGTTCTCTACAAATGATGGAATATCCTTCTTCCTGGCTATCCTGACCCCTGAGCTGTCAGCCCTGTATCTGAGTGACCTACCTGTGCTGGTACTTTTGGTTGCTCTGGTTGTTTCATGTGCTTCCTTAGAGGTACCTAGAATGAGCAGAGGAAGATCACTGTACTCTTTCTGGTCTCTAAAGTCTCCTGCACACAGCTCCTGGCGTGCCTGAAGTCCCTGATCACTGGTGTGAAGTGAATGCGTGCTGATGACCCCAGGTGAGTTTTTCACTTCTAAATCACCTCTTTTAAGTAATAAGAAGTTTCTCACATTAGCTCTTCTACTTGTGTGTCTTAGTTTTTGTGGTTCTCCTGTACTAGTTGGGCAAAGAAACAAGTTCTAACTGAGGCAATGAGAAAAGATCTGTGTTGAGTGAGTTAATGTGGCCTTCAGCTTGACAGAGCCTTGACACAGTATCCTTCCTGGCTGTCCTCCCTTTTCAGGGAAGTAGGGAGAGCCTATAAACTTCACCATTTCTATATCCTGGGTTGGAACTGGCTGTGATACCACTGTGGTTCCTGCACAGATAGACACGGGCTGTTTCCTATTAGACAAACACTAAGGCTTTGCTTCAGAGGACAGGGTCAGAAAGAGTAGTCAGCCTGATGCCACTGCTCATGCCTGTAATCCTAGCTACCCATAAAGCTGAGATCTGAGGCTCACCATTTGAAGCTTGCTTGAGCAGACAAATAGGTGAGGTACTTATGTCCAATTAACCAGCAAAAAGCTAGAAGTAGAGATGTGGCTCAAGTGGTAGAGAACCAGTTTTGAGTACAAAAGCTAAGCAAGGGGATATGGCTCTGGGTTCAAGCCTCCGTACCAGAACATACGCATACAATAGAAGTCAAAGATGAAATCTGAGCCAATGTTCCAGCTAGCCCACTAAAGTACAACCTGAGAATTTATGATCTGAATAAAGAAATAAAATAATGGCTTCTGAGAATATGGAGTCTCATGGATTTCTATCTCAGGAAATGGTGGTCTGATGGCAGCTTCCACTCTACTCTTACAATGTGCCCTGGAAACATTCACTACCTTTCTGGGACTCTAGTCTGAGCTCCAGAAACCCAGAATGAGAATATTAAATGGTTGAAAAAAAAGGAAATACCCAAATTAGATTCCACTCTAGTTCCTGGGCCTTTATCTTCAATATTTCCCTTATGTTGAAGCAAAGGCTTAGAAGTCACTAATGAGAAGCCAACAGATTTAAACCATTGATAGACACTCACCAAAGTAAATCCAAAAGCTAGTATGAGTTGTATGAGTTAGATACTACTGTGTTAATACTATAGTACTTAACGCCAGAGAAGAGATTTCTTTTTCTCAGCTGAGATACTTAGGGCTACTTTTCAATTATTTAATTACCTATGTTAGAACTTGTAGAAATAATTGTTGGGCCAGAGGATGTCCCAGGGGTACCTGTAATAAGAGAAAGAATGAGTTGCAGTCTTTCTCAGCCTAAAATGAGCAAGGTAGCATCAATAGGCCCAGTTTCTCTCAAGCAATAGAAAAGCAACAAATGTTCTCACATGAGCTATTTGTGAAACCTGGTGGGGTTTCCAAGACTCTGCCTCAGGAAGGCAGGATCAAAGGAATAGGAGGTGAGGGAGAAGTCATAATGGCTACAGCATTCTCATTTCTCCAGAACTAGAATCTTAAAAATTCTGATTACTAAATGACTTTTCCTTAGATGTATATACTTTACTTTCAGGAACTTACCATGCTACTCCAGCTCAGAGGACAGAAAAAGAATTTGTCTAAACTTAGGATCCAGGGTTAGGCCCGTGTGTGTGTGTGTGTGTGTGTGTGTGTGTGTGTGTACTAAGAATGTGTGCTCTTGCTTCAAGGCTGATGCTCTAACACTTGAGCCACTTTTCTAGTTCTGGATTTTTAATTTGAAGTAAGGGTCTCCAGCATTCATGTACCAGGCTGACTTCTAACTGTGATCCTGTGATCTCAGTGTCTTGAATGGGGTTAGGTATCTTAAGGCCTTTATTTGCAACATTGCCTTGTATTACGGACACTGGTCCTGGAGAAATGGCTGAGGAGGCAAGACAGCCTCAATCTAGAGAACCATATCCTTTATGTATCCTCTGGGAAGTTACCTAATCAGCTGAGGAACTCATTAATCGCATTAGGGTTAGGACCAGTACTAAAGGAGCAACAATTACTTCTCACCTACACATATGTTCACAGGTAGTACACACTAATGGGAACATTTTTGATAATCCAAAATCTGGCAAGATTTACCTGATGAAATGACTGCTCTTGTGCTTCCCACAACTTCTTTAATACTTGTGGCCTCTGTGAGAATAAACAGAGAGAAAATGGGAAGTTTTTCTTCATTTTTGTAAATGTATACTTTTGTGTGAATGTGGATGTACCCCTTCTGGGATTTGAACTCAGGGCCTCACGTGCTTTCCCTTGGCTTTTTCACTCAAGCCTGGCATTCAACCATATGAGTCGCATCTGGTTCACTGGATATAATAGTCTCAAGTGTGTATGTGCCTGACCTGGCTTTGAACCACTACCTTCAGATCTCAGCCTCCTGAGTAGCTAGAATTACAGGTGTGAGCCACCAGTTCCTGGCTAGTTTTTTTTTTCTTTCTTTCTTTCTTTCTTTTCTTCCTTCCTTCCTTTCTTTCTTTTTTCTTTTTCTTTCTCTCTTTCTCTCTCTCTCTTTCTTTCTTTCTTTCATATACCTTCTTGTGTGTATATATGTGCTTCTACACAAGCATGAATTTAGGGCCTTTGGCAACCCTTTAGCTTTAATAATCAAGGCTGGAGCTCCATCACTTGAACTACAGCTCCACCTCCAGCCTTTTGCTGGCCTATTGAAGATATGAGTGTCATGGACTTTCCTGCTTGGGCTGGCTTCGAACCTCAGTCCTCAGACCACACTCAGCCCTTGTGAATAGCTAGGTTTACAAGTGTGAGTCACCAAGGATGGAGATGTTTTTCCACATGAGAATGGTTTGGTAGAGTGATATTGCTGCTACAGGCATTTGAAGGAGCGTTGAGTTTAATACTTGCCTGTTTGGATACTCGTGGGTGAGGCTGTAGTCCCAGGGCTTGTCCCAGGGGAACCTAGAATAGAAGAGGAAAGAAAGTGGGGTGGGTGGGAAGGAGGTTTGCTTTCTTGGGCAGATGCTGTAATTTAGGATTCATTTATGTGTCTCTGTATAAACAACATACTCCTCCAGGATTCTTGGTCTCAAGAGCTAAAATGACATTTTTCTTTTCTATGCTATTCCTTGCTATCAACTACATTCCTGAGATTTATTTTCAGTTTTTGGTCAGAACTCAGGACTTCAATACCTGCTGCTTTTGCTCATTGGCTGGTGCTCTACCAACTGAGCCATGCCTCCAATCCCTGAGATTTTTTTAAAGTGTCGTAATAATGAGATCTTTCCTAGTCTCACCTTCAGTTTCCTGTTCCAACTTGGCTTAACTCTGCTGTCTTGACTCTACAGTCATGTTGGTAACTTGTGATGTTTAAAAATACAAAGAACTGAGAATATTTACATTTTAATTCTTTAAAGGTAATTACCTCTTCTACTTTCAGTGTTTTGTAGATATGAATCTAGGCTCTCCAAACACTATCATTTTTCTTATTCTATTTATATTATTTTATTTTATTATTTTTTACAAAAACAATCTCAAGGCATTTGTTGTCACCCAATAATAACACAAGGTCATCAGAACCGTGCACACTAACAATGGGGCTCATCAACTTATAGGAACAGATGTTTTCTTAGATTCACAGCAAAGAACATACACACAAAAAACCAACCAAAAAACAAAACAAAAACAACTGTATAAGATTCTTAATAATTTCTCACTCCACTGATCATTTCTAGTTGGAGACACTTTGTAGTAGAGTAATATTATCTCCTTTCAGCATGAACCGACCCAGTTGTTTTGTTGACTTTTAGAATGAATTCCTTCTACATCGAAACCAATGATGCCGCCCTCTATCCACATAGTCACTTGCTCATAGAGACACACCTGAATCTGCGATCTGTTTGTAAATATCTGAAGATAAGGTTGATGGGCTGGACCATCACCTTCTATACCTTTGGCCCTGGCCACGGTATGCCATGGTAGAATCTTACAAAGGCCACACATCGATCAGCACACTATCCTAGAAGGCAACTTCTGGAACTCTTTTTTCTTCTTTTAATGTGTTGGTATTAGGGCTTGAACTCAAGGCCTTGGGTTCTCTTTGGGCTATCATTGTTCATGGCTGATGCACTTACACTTGAGCTGTGCCTCCATTTCCTGCCTTTTTGCTGTTTAATTGGAGATAAGAGTCTTACAGATCTGTTTTCCTAAGCTGACTTCACACTGAGATCCTTAGATCTCAGCCTTCTGAATGGCTAAGATAACAAGCATACGCTGTTAGTGGCCTGGCCCCAAGCTTTTAAATAAAATAATGAAAACAATCTTTTTCTTGAATAATTTAAAAAGCCTTGATAAAACCTGTGAGTATTGACGGGGGGGGGGGAAATCTTACATTAATTTTAAAAAGAATTACCTAGTTTAGAAACTTCTTGGTGACTCGTAACTTCGGTTGAGATAAGAGTAGTATCTGCCAAGACAGTATGGAAATACTTTAACCATATTCTGGGTTGAGAGAAAAAGTCAAGGGAGAGCCTGAGGCCCTCAGTTTAAAGCCCCAGTAAGAGCACAAAATAAAAAGAATCCTTTCTCTATAAAGATAATTTTGTTTAGGAAGTTATAACTTAAAGATGTGGCTAATTGAACTCTTCAGGAAATTCCAGAGCATTCAAACAACCAACCTCAACTGCCTTCCAGTTTCTCCAATTGACTATCCCATGTTTTATATCCCATCAGTAGCAAAATCCCACTAGTAATCAATAAAACTCCCCCAATACCAAAGCAGTGGCTGACCTGTTTGCACTCTGCTTCCAGTGGGGTTCTTGCTTAGTCCTGAAGTGGACGCACCTGGGAGTCAACAAGAAAATCTTTAAAAATGATTGTAAATAGGTGTGAAATCTGGATAACATTTTGTAATTCTTTAAGAAGATAGCATTTTGACAGAGAAACTGATAAAGAGCTTTCTTCAATAACCCTTAATCTGCATTAGAATTTTAGAAACTGATATGATAGCAATTACTCCAGGGTGGATTTAAAATGGAAATAAGAATGAGAGATGGATAGGAATCCAGAAATTGAGAAGTAAGAGAAATGATTTTGCTCAAAGAATAAGATAAATTTGAACATATCTACTCTTCTTTTTGTTGTTATTGGTCTTGGGGCTTGAACTTGGGGCCTGGGCACTGTCCCTGAGCATTTTTACTCAAGGCTAGTGCTCTACTACTTTGAGCTACAGCACCACTTGTAGTTTTCTGGTGGTTAATAGGAGATAAAAATCTCATAGAATTTCCTGCCCAGACTGGCTCTGCACTGTAGCTAAGCTTACAGGTATGAGCCACTGGTGCCTGGAAAATCAACATTTCTTAATAGCAGTAAAAGAGCTTTTGATTTAAAGCCCTATGATTATTGGCAAGACTCTCATTGGAAGTCTTGGCTAGGATATTACAACACTTTGGGAGGAAGCACTTTGTTTCAGGTCACCTGACTTACTTCTTGTGACCTGATCTTTGGTGCTTTGGTGGAGACTCCTTGGGTAAGTGGATAGGAATTTATAATTTAAATTTATTTAAATTTAAATTATTTTAGAATTTAAATTTGCTTGGAGTTTATTCATGGATTTTTATTCTTGAGAAGTCTAAATGGGGGAATAATCTTTACTCATCAGGATTAGAATGCCTGGAAATTCCAGATAAACCTGAAATAGTACCAACAAAACTAAGATGGCTGCCAGGTATTGGTAGCTCATATCTGTAATCCTAGTACTCAGGAGGCTGGGAGCTGAGGATTATGATTCAAAGCCAGCTTGGGCAGAAAAGTCCATGAGACAGATTTCTAATTAACCACCAAAAACCCCACAGAAATAGATCAGTGGCTCAAGTAGCAGAACACTATCTATTAGCCAGAAAAACTCAATGATAGTGCCCACATCCTGAGTTCAAGCCAAACCAACACACACACACACACACACACACACACACACACACACACACACACACACACACACATACACAAGACGGTTAAAATATTGACAGTAACACATCATTCCTACCTTCATCAAATCACATCTAAATGTTCGGTGTACAGAGAAAACCAGTCTTAAAAGCAAGGATCTACTTGACATTTTATCTCTTCAAATGAAATATGAAAACCTATTTTGACCCACCTCTCTCTCATTCATCACCTGTCATGATCCCAGGACATAGCTGAGAAGGTAAACACATCACTCACCAGTTGTTGTTCTCATGGTAGTGGTCACCCTGATTGCTGTAGAAGTTGTGGTTTCTGAGAAGAAACAAGAGAAAGTGGTATGGAATGGGGCACTTAGAAAAAATGCAGAACAATGATGTTTCTCTCTACTATCACTATGGAAGAGATGAGGGCCTCTGAAGTTCACAGAAGAAGATCCTTCCATTTCATTACTCACCTACACTGGAGTGCCCAGGAGCAATGGTTGTACCACTAGTAATCCTGGTAGCTGAAAGTACAATACCAGGGAATTAATTTATGAATTCTCTTTAACTCAAACTAACATTGGATTTCCAGTAAATATTATGCTCTTGTGAATATAGAAAGGACAAGTTCATGGAGTCATGTGTTGATGTCCAGTCATATATTCAAAGAGAAATTGAGTAAAATTTCTGTTAAATTCTTTGTGATTAATCCTGGGGCTTGAACTCAGGATCTTGAGCATTTTTGCCTGGCTTTTTTTCTTCTGCTCAACGCTGGTACTCTACCACTTGAGCCACAGCTCCACGTCTGGCTTTTTGTTGGCCAATTGGAGATAAGTCTTAAGGATTTGTCTGGCTTCAAACTGTGATCCTCAGATCTCAGCCTCCTGAGTAGCCAGGATTATACAGGCATGAGTCACCAGCATCTGGCTATAATTTAAGATGTAGAAAATAAAATGACTGCTAATGCTCTTCTATTTTAACTTCAGTCTCTGTGGTCCCACTACTTCTTAGAGAAGTTGTGGCTTCAAGTGAAAGGAGTAAAGCAGTGAATTAAATTCAAAGCCATCACTGAGGAAGATTTGGTAGTATCTCTAAGTAGAAATATACCTATATGAGAGGAGAGAATGTAGGAGGGGATAATGGCTCATTACTGACACTTCTCTTCCCTGTTAGGTCTTGGGTTTACCTGCGCTGGACCTCTCAGGTTTCATCGTTGTGCCAGAGATGGAACCAGTGGTGCCTAAAGAAGAGGGGAGGGAGAGGAACGATGTATTTATCATCCTAGGAAAAGAGCCAACAAAGTTTGGGACTAGAAAGCAGCAGAAGACCTTCCTTGGGATAGCCAGTCATGATAACATACACTTTCCATTTTGAATTCAAAGGCAAAATAGCACATGGTCCAGCCTCAACTGCTTACTTCTCTGATGTTAGATACCAGAGGTCTTGGGTGCCTTTCTTTTCTTTTCTTTTTTTTGTTTCTCTTTCTTTCTTTTTTTTTTTTGTCAGTCGTGGGGCTTGAACTCTGGGCTTGGGCACTGTCCCTCAGCTCTTCACCTCAAGGTGAGCACTGTACCGCCTGAGCCACAGCGCCACTTCCAGTTTTCTAGTGGTTTATTGGAGATAAATCTCATGGACTTTCCTGCCTGGGCTGCTTTGAAACCTGATCCTCAGATCTCAGCTTCCTGAGAAGCTAGGATGACAGGCGTGAGCCACTGGCACCCAGCTTGGATGCCTTTCTTATGTTTACCTGTTTCTCTTCCAGAGCTTGGCCTCCCAGCAGTGCCAGTGGTGGCTCCTAATGATAAGAAAAGACACATGATATCTATGTTAATGCATTCAACTGTATTCCTGGAAGAAATTGGTAACATCTATATTCTGACATGCGATAGAGCTCAACCTCCAGAGTTACTTCTGTTATCTCTGCTCTTCGAAGTAGAACTAAATGGATATTTATCACCACCCTATCATACTGGGGGTCACAGCTTGAATGTCAAAAGAAAAAAAAATTCTGGATCCTGAGCCTCTTAAGAATAGTATAAGGTTTGCTCCCCAAAATGGATGTCATGTTTTTCATAAATATGTGCTATATAGAACAAATGTCTCTATGCCAAGACAAAGATAAACGTTAAGTCAGAAGGAACCAAAAACTTGCAAACTCTAAGCTGGGCACTGGTGGCTCATGCCTATACTTCTTAGCTACTCAGGAGGCTGAGGTAGGAAGGTCATGGTTTGAAGCCAAACCTGGGAAGCAAAGTCTGTGAGATTTTTATCTTCAATGAACAGCAAAAAGCTAGAAATGGTGCTGTAGCTCAAGTGATAGAGAGCCAGACTTGAGCAGAAAAATCCAAGCAACTGTGTGAGGCCCCAAATTCAAGCCCCAGTACCCCCACAATGCACACACAAAAGTTGCCACATTGGGCTGGGAATTTGGCTCAGTGGTAGAGTGCTTGCCTTGCATGCATGAGGCCGTGGGTTCAATTTCTCAGCACTACAATAGCAGAAAAAGCTGAAAGTGGAGCTGTGGCTCAGGTGGTAGAGCCTTGAGCTGAAGAGCTGAGGGACAACGCTCAGGCCCAGAGTTCAGGCCTCATGACTGACAAAAAAAAAAAAAAGTTGCCACCTCAACTTTCATTGGTAAGGCTTCCTTCTGTAGCAGTTATGGCTTCAGAGAATAAACAGGAGTAAAATGCTGAAAACTAAAAGTCATAAATGATAATAAAGTGATTTTCCTCCAGTTGCAGCCCCACAAAAGAAATCATCATACCTAGTTCTGTTTGACTCACCTGTGTGGAGCCTTCCAGGAATGCTGCTGCTCCCAAGAACAATGCCAGCTGTACCTGAAAGCAAAATGGAAGAATGTGGTCAGATCAGTTTCATTCCTAAGAAAAACCTGTCCTGGAATGGGGGAGGGCATGGACAGAGGTGTTGAGTGTAGGAAAAGATCATGTCCAGGAATATACAATATTTTGTTGCACACAGGATGGATGGCTCCAGTGACAATGTCCCTTTTTCTGAGCTCAATGCCAGGGAATGTTTTTATCCATCTGGTTTAATGTCCTTGACTTCCTTCCCAGATGGCTGAGAAGAAACAAAACATATTGATTACCTGTTGATGTGTTGCACACACGTGTGTGTGTGTGTGTGTGTGTGTGTGTGTGTATACATGGGCACACATGAGCTTGAACTCAGGGGCTGGACAAGGCTAGTATGCCCTACGAGTCACAGTCCCACTTTCAGCCTTTTGGTGATCATGAAGGTTTGGGCTGGCTTTGAATCTCAGTCCTCAGATCTCAGTTTTCTGAGTAGCTCAGATTATAACAGGTGTGAGCCACAGGTACACAGCTACCTACTGAATATTTATGGGAGTAAATTGATGTAATAGAAATATTCGTGTTCTAGAAAAGTTTAGACATGTGACATGAGTCTAGTGGACAGTAGTGTCATGGTTTGGAAGACAGCCCCTGGGATCCAGAGTTGAAATCTGCTATTCACTTGCTGGGTGACCTTGGCCGATTTACTTAACATCTCTGGAGCCAGAGGTTTGCTCACCTAAAAAACTGGACAAAACAGGAATACTTCTTTTGCAGTTTGGATAGAAAGCAGAATCATGCCTAGCACGTACTTTGCTAGAAAGTGCTAGTTATTATGAATGTTAGTTACTAGGTGAGTAGGAAGTTGGCAAGGTTAGGAAATGTGGATGATCACCCGTGTTCATTCTGCTTCTGGTAGTATGGCTGCCATCCAAGGATGATGCAGCTTCTGAGAAGAGAGGTCAGAAAGTGTCACATGCCAGGAAATAACAGCATGCAGGCCAAGTTGAAGATGTGCATCCTTTGAGAGCTCTTAGACTGCTAGAGGTCATTCTGTGGGCAATGCTCGGCAGTTGATTGGCTCACCTGTGTTTGAACTCCCAGGTTCAAGTGTACTGCCGGAAGCCATCCTGGTGGTACCTGCAAGGAGGGAAGGGATAGGTATCACGCTCATGGGAAAGTTGGACATTTTCAAAACCAAGACGCAAATGAGGACCACTCCCTCTTCTGGAATTCAGTGTCAGTAAGACAAGCATCCCTCCCCCCTTTTTGTGATATTTACCTCTTGTGCTTCTGGTTTCTTGGTTTACTGATGCTCCAGGGGTTGCTCCTGAAAAGTGGAATGTAGAAAAACTTTGAGGTGGAGAGATGGGCACAACTGGGACAACTATTGCATATTGCGATCACTTCTCTGCTCAAGGAAGAAAGGCACTTCATTGAGAAGTATTAGAAGAACAAGAAATTTCTGTGTGCATGTTTGCCTTCTGTTTACATGAAGTAATATTCCCTGAGCCCATCTTTCCTCCAATGGATACTGGAGGAAATGGGGATTGGAGAAAGGAGACGCCAATTTTCCTTTCTCGCATTTGCAGAGATCAACACGTGAGGTTGAGCCATTTCTGGAAAGATTTAAAAAAAATGTCTGCTTAAATGGACTCACAATCAATGACTAAAGAAAATAATGTTGATCTTAGATAAGAGTTCCTAAGAACCCCACCATGAAACCGTCCTACTGAGAATCAATGTGTAATTGTAATTTATCATCACCCAAAAGTCATTCAGTCTGTCTGTCTCTTTCTCTTCCAAGTTCTCACCTGTTTCCTTTCTTGCTACAGTTGTTCTGGTGCTTGTGGAAGTTGTGGCTTCTGAAATGGAGAGAGGAGGAGCAGGAGAAGATTAAGGATAAGGACATAGAAGGAACAATTAAATATGATGTGTTTACATGAGGAAGCAATGTGAAAGTCATCTTTAGGATCTTATAATCCTGAATGGCTACTCTCTTCTCAGCTTGCTAGCCTACCTGTGCTGGAAATTCCAGGGGCAGCAGTTGTACTTTTGGCCATACCAGTGGTGCCTAAAATAAGAAGGCCATGGAATCAACATAAAATGGAACCACATAAAATGAGTCACCCCATTGATAAGTTCAATGAATGTCACCTGGGCCACATTATTCAGCTTTTGTGCCTTGGGAAGCTCAGGGAGATGCCATTTTCATGGACTACTTCAGCTACATGGTGGGTTTTTTTTTTTGAGCACATCATTTTATTAGTCTTTCTGCTCTTATTTTCCCCCCAATGTTTTAAATATCTAGCTCATTCAATAGCATTTGTTGAATCCTGTTTTATAACTAGGGAGGGATCAGTGAAAAAAATAAATGAACTTTTTGTTGTTGTTGTTGTTGGTCGTGAGGCTTGAACTCTGGGTCTGGGCACTATCCCTCAGCTCTTCAGCTCAAGGCTAGCGCTCTACCACTTGAGCCACAGCGCCACTTCCAGTTTTCTGGTGGTTTATTGGAGATCAGAGTCTCATGGAATTTCCTGCCCGGGCTGGCTTTGAACCTCAATCCTCAGATTTCAGCCTCCTGATAGCTAGAATTACAGGCATGAGCCATCAACACCTGGCCTCAATGAACATTTTTTTCTCCAGAAGCCTAGTAGGCTTGCTTAGCAAATAGAATATAAACTCCCTCACTGGAAAAGAAAATAAAATTTTAATTCCAGTGACCTATTTGTCTGAGGCCCCAGTGGGGGCATTCCTGATGACGATAAGTAGAAAAACCATGGGAGCTGGCTTTGAACTTCAATCCAAGTATTGAGTAAATCTAATATGATAGCTTACGACAAAAAGTCAATAGGAGTCAAAAATGTTCTGACTTTATTCTAGTCATCTTTATACCTGAGAGGAAACCATGGGAGCCAGTGTTGTTTCCTGCTGACACTGTAGTAATAGCTAAGAGGTTAATGGTGCAGGGAATTCCTATTCTCATACTGCTCCAAGAAATCTATACCACAAAGCCAGGATTCAGAAAAGAATCATCTTAAGGTTGAGTGTCAGCAGCTTGATTGTTGTGTGTTAGAGGATGGATCATTTGCTCTTCCTAGAGGCAAACTGGAGGTTGTCTTCTGTGGTAGTTCTAACAGCTGGGGTCTCTAGTTTCCCCTGATTTCCTCACAGTAGCTCTGCTGGTTTCTAAGCAAACTTTAGCCTTATGAACAGGCAACTTGGAAAGTGAAAAGCATGTTTGGGAAAGCATCTTCCCCTTTCCCCCCCCCCCCATGTAAATGAACAACTATGAGTACCGCAGAGGATTCACTTACCTGTAATGGAGATTCCGGGTGTAGACGTGATTCTGGAGATGCCCCTACTGGTACCTGCAGTCACAAGGAGGAAGGATTGGTATGTCATCTGTCAATGTCATTTATCAATCTATTTTTCCTCATTGAAAATCATAGGAGACCTCTCCTAGGGTTCTGCATGTGATTTTTCTGAAAGTACTTTATCTTCCAAAGGGGAACAAAAATTAAAAGGCCAAACTCCTGCCATAGACCACCTGGCTCTTAATTTTTGTAAGTATCAGAGAGAGGATTGTAATTTTTCATTCTTATCCCTGTGACTGCCAGAGTCATGGCTCCCTGGTGCAGTGGTCTCAGTTCCTAAAGAAAAACCAAGAACATTCTTTTGTATATCAGTGTAAGGATTTGGGTAAAATAGAGGTATTTAGACAAAGGTTTTGCTTGGCAGAAATTAACCTAAATTCATTTTAACTGATCCACATTGCCGGAAGAGTCACTGGCTCCCCTGCTCCCTCTTTTTCTTTCTTTCTTTTTAACCTGTTATAGCTAGTGCTTCAGTGATTGCAGAGATCGCTGTAGTGTCTGAAAGAGGGAGGAAAGTAAAAAGAGAAGGCAAAATTTGAAATGATCTGAGAAGAGGAAAGAAGGATCACTGAGGGAATCTGATGATTGCAAATCCTTTTCCCTAGAACTAGTCCTTCCCAATTTGGTGTTTTACTAGAGCTAGAGCTTGTACTGGCAACAGTTGTAGAGAGAGAGACATTTTAGCACTGCCTATGTAGGGAAAGAGAACAACACGGTGACACCTTTGTATCCTGTAGGAAAAAGTAGCCAACGACATGCTGATCTGTGACTTCCAAGTGGCTAATGACACTTCCTGTGTAGTCAATGTACTTCCTGTTCCTGTAACGGACAGACATCTTCTCTTTTGCCCATAGGCTTTTGCAAGACTAAGGGCAATGTGTCCCACTAACATGCATGCAATGATTATTTTAAAGCAGTTTGTAGACTCTGTGTAGAGCGATGTCAGCTCATCTGTCCACCTTTGAAGGTCATGTCAGAACATTTCCTGTGTTTACCTGTCTGGTTTTCTGATGCACCAGTGGTGACTTCTAATGAAAAGAAAGTGTGAAATAAAAAGTATCTGTTGAATTTTATTTTATTCTCACGGTTTCTATGCTGAATTGAGTTTAGCAATGCTATCCAGAAAAATAAAAGAGTTTTCAAAGAGGAAACTGTTTCAGAGCCTATATATACTGTTGCCATTAATCTCTCCAGAGACTTTGATTCCTGATGTCCCTAGGACATGAAGGCCTTTGGAACTCGAGGCCCAAGTAGTTTCAAATTATAAAGCAAGCCCTGGTTCCTCTGAAATAATATAACCTCAAACGCAAATTCAAAACCTTTAAGGGGGAGGCGGGGGGTTAATCTATAATGTAAAATTTTTTTCCAATCTGAAGTTTTCCAATATAAAATGTATTTTTCTTTGAAGTCAGTTTTCTCTAACAACTCTATCCATCTAACATGAATCATGCCACTACCCAAGTCATCAGAAATACATTCCCAAGCACAGTGGTGATCTCTGAGGAAAGGGAAAAGAACCAAAGTGAACTGTATGTTCAAGAAGGAGGAGGGGCGAAGGTGAAGCCACTGTACCTCAGGCACAGTATCACATTTCTTGTCAGCTCAAAATTGTATATCCATATTTTTTTAACAGATTTATTTTGTCAGTATGGTCTTACAACTGAGGTCCTCACACATGATGGGCAAGAACTACCAGCCCTTTTTCATAATCCTTTTCTTTTCTTTGATAAGGTCTTGCTTTCCATCCTCTCCCCACCACCCCCCAGGGCCATCCTGGGCCTACAATCCACCTACTTCTGTCCTCTACTGTAACTGGGATTTAAGGTATGAAATACTACTCTTGGCTTATTATTGAAATAGGATGTTGGTAACAATTTGCCCTCGCTTGTGCAATTATTCCCTGATGTCTGCCTTCCAAGTGGTTGTGATTACAGGTCAATGCCACCAGGCTCCATATGTCACATGTCTCATAAGTAGACCGTAGGCAGTCTTTGTTTGGAATGAGATAGTAAAAGTTCGCAATAAGAAAGCATATAGCCAAATGCTGGTTGCTCATGACTGTAACACTTGCTACACAGGAGGCTGAGATCCAAGGGTCATGGCTCACAGCCAATCCCAGGCAGGACAGTCCATGAGACTCTGGCCTCCAATTAACTACAAAAAAAAGATAAAAGTGGAGCTGTGGATTAAGTGGAGAGCATTAGCTTTGAGCACCAAAGCTCAGAGACAGCACCTACCCTAAGTTCAAGCCCTATGACTGGCACACACACATACAACTAGCATATGGTATATACTTATAAATGAAAGAGATACTGATTATTAATATCTGTATGTGTTGTTGCTTTAAATGGCAGAATTTGCCATTATCTATCAAACAGGAATTGGAAGCTAGAGAAAGAGAAGGATCAATATGTAAAATTTTCACCCATAATAAAAAGAAAATTATTTCAGGTAGGATTAAGGAATTCTGGTTTACAATGTACCCAACAAGGTCTATCAGTGCTTTCAAGAGCTAACAGTTAATGTATTTCTATTGAATTTTTTTTTTAAAGAGCAACTGGATCAATAGCACAATGATATTCTTTTAGGTATCAGCGAGAAAATGAAAGACATTTCTCTTCCTGAAAACTAAAAGGTAGCCTGTGGCTTAGTTCCATCATGAAATTTTCTTGAAGCAGAATAAAGGAATAGTTTGAGTGCCTGAGTCTTAATAGATCAAATCCTGGGTTTCAGTTATTTCTGTTGAGAATGTGTTCTTCCCAGAGGACCAATAGAAGCTCTCATTGCACAGCTGTGTGTGTGGAGGTAGCAGGGGCTGTCAGTGTTTACCTGCAGGGCTTCCAGCTCCACTGGTCCCACTGACTCCAGAGGAAGTTGTGGCTGCTGAGAGGGGAGAGATCACAGAAAATGAATCACAGGGTCAGAGCCCAACTGTGGTGAGTCTGCTTGGAAGCAGCACAAGGGAAGTGCACTGCAGGATGGGCTCAGCACAGTGTGTGGCCAGTTGTGAACTCACCTGTGCTCACACCTGCAGGGACAACTGTTGTGCCAGTGCTGACCTCAGTGGGACCTGCAGCACAAAGAAGCTAGGCTGTCATAGCAACTCAGGAAGCCAGAGGAGGACCTGAATCTAAAATGCAGACTTGCATTCCTACAGTTGTTTATTCACAGTAACTAAAATCTCACTGCCAGACCTGTGGTGAATTAGATGCACGCTTCCTGCTTTCAACATCTCATAACCAACGTAAAATAACTATTCACAAGTTGAGATAGTTCTACTAGGATCTGAGGAGAGCTTTTCCCCAATGCTCACCTGCCAGGTTTCCTGTTGTTCCACTATCTCTGCTTAGAGATAGTAGGTGTAGGAAATGGATACAATGCTAAAACCTCATAGACTCTGCTCCTAAGTTACTTGAGCTGATCCAAACTTTGGCAAAGTAGCAGGGCATAAAATCAATCCACAAAAATCAGGAGCATTCCTCTACTCCAACAATGAGAGGAGAGAGGCTGAAATTAGGAAAACAACTCCATTTACAATATCCTAAAAAATTAAAATACCTAAAATATCCTAAAAAAATACCTAAGAGTCAACTTAACCAAAGAAGTAAAAGACCTTTACAATAAAAACCTCAAAAATCTGATAAAGGAAATTAAAGCAGACCTCAGGAAATGGAATAACCTTCCATGTTCCTGGGTTGGGAGGATTAACATTGTGAAAATGGCAATATTGCCAAAGGCTATATACAAATTCAATGCAATACCCATCAATATCCCAACTTCTTTCTTCAATGAAATAGAAGAAGCAATCCAAAAATTCATATGGAACAACAAAAGACCTCAAATAGCAAAAACAATTATTAGCAGGAAGAACAATACTGGAGGAATTTCAATACCAAACCTCAAACTCTATTACAAAGCCATAGTACTCAAAACAGCTTGATACTGGCACAAGAACAGGCCTGAGGACCAATGGAATAGAGTTGAAGACTCAGAAATGAACCCTCAGTCCTATGGCTTTGAAAAGGGAGCCAAAAAAATAGGATGGAAAGACAGCCTCTTCAATAAATGGTGCTGGCAGAATTGGCTACACACGTGTAGAAAACTAAAGTTAGATCCCTATATATCACCCTGCACTAGAATGAACTCTAAATGGGTCAATGACTTTGAGGTAAAAGCAGATACCTTGAAAATATTACAAGAAGAAATAGGAGAAACATTGGGGCTCCTTGGCATAGGCCGAAACTTTCTTAATAAAGATCCAGAAACACAACAAATCAAAGAAAGACTGGACAAATGGGACTGCATTAAATTGCAGAGCTTCTGCACGGCAAAGGACATAGCTAGCAAGACAGATTGGGAGATCTTCACTAGCCATACAACAGACAAGGGTCTCATATCTACAATATACCAACAGCTCAAGAAATTAAACTCCCCCAAAACAAACCCCCAAAGAAACATTACCACCCCATTAAAAAGTGGGCTAAAAACCTTAAGAGAGACCTCTCTGAAGACAAAATACAAATGGCCAAGAGACACATGAAGAATTGCTCAACATCTCTGGCTATAAAAGAAATGCGAATCAAAATAACATTGAGATTCTACATCACCCCAGTTAGAATGGCTATAATCAAGAAATCTAACAACAGATGCTGGTGGGGATGTGACCAAAGGGGAATGCTACTACATTGTCGGTGGGAGAGTAAACTTGTTCAACCACTCTGGAAAGTAGTTTGGAGGTTCCTCAAAAAACTACACATAGAGCTCCCCTATGACCCAGCAATCCCATTTCTGGGAATCTACCCAAATGTCCACAAACAAGGCCACACTAAACCCACCAGTACGACGATGTTCATCGCAGCATTATTTACCATAGCCAAGACATGGAACCAACCCAAATGCCTCTGTAGGTAAATGGATCAAGAAAATGTGGTACATAGACACAATGGAATTCTATGTTTCCATCAGAAAGAATGACATTGTTCAATTCAGAAGGAAATGGAAGACTTGGAAAAATGATATTAAGTGAAGTAAGCCAGACCCAAAGAAAAGCAGGTCACATGATCTCCCTCATCTGTAAGAACTAGAAATGCTTAGTGCAAAGGACTATATATAATGAAACATATTAACATGAACTCCAACTTTTGGAAAAAAAAAAGAGGCTTTCATTAGACCTTTTATACAGTTCATTCTTTTTCTCTATCGTTTTCCCCCATGGTTTCCCTCATTCGCAATAATTAGTATATGTCTAGGATAATTTTATCAGATGAGCAGGAAAACTCAAAAACTATGTACATATGACCATATAAGATGATGCTAAGTGAAACAAACCCCAAGATATGGACACAAGCATTTCTTCTTTGTTGTTGTTGTTCTTAATGTACTATGAGATTTTTTTGTTTCCTTTGTATGTTCTTCCCCCTCTGTTGCCACTGGACTTGATATTGGTGTCCTGCATCTTGTATATGCATTTGTCCAATTTGGGGAGGGGAAGGGGAATAACAAAATGCTGAAACAAGGACACAGGATGACCCATTGCAACAATGACACCCACAAGACGGTATATTGGAAATGAACTTTACAATTTCAGAAGGTGGAGGAGGAGTAAGGAGGGGGAGGGAAGGATAGTGGAGAACAACAAAGGAGGGAGTAACAATTCTTGATAATAAATGTACTCATTACCTTACTCATGTAACTGTAACCCCTCTGTACAGCATCTTTACAATAAAATAAAATTTAAAAATAATGTGCTCAAAAATTAAATAGATGAAACACATGTATATGTATTACCTACATATGTATATATATATGTATATCTGTAAACATAGATATACTTGAATAAGATATGGTGCAGTGAGGTGCTTCTTTCTCTGTCTTTCTTTCTTTCTCTTTCAAACACACAAATTCTCACCTGCTTCCCTTGTTGCGGCAGTGGTACTACTGACTCTTGTAAAAGCCGTGGTTTCTGGAAGGGAGAGAGACAGAGAAGAAGAAGAAGGTGATTAAGGGTAAGATCTTAGGAACAAGGGAAAATATTCTGTGTCACTGTTCTATGAGAAGAACAGCATGAGAGTCATCTCTAGCACCTTATTTCCAGAGTGGGTATTTTTTTTCCAAGCTTGTAGCTCACCTGTGCTGGAACTTCCAGGGGCAACAGTTGTGCTTCTGACCACACCTGTGGTGCCTGAAACAAGAAAAATCACCAGCAATTGAAGCATTCCATGTATAAATCCAATGAATGTCACCTGGGCCACATCATTCAGCGAGTATACCTGGGCAGCTTGTGGAGATACTGTTTACATAGAATTTGTCGTATATGTGGTTGGTGTTTGAACATGTTTTTATTGGTCTTTGCTCCTAGACTGAGTCAATTATTTTTCCTATTTACCAACTATCTATCTCATCCAAAAAATATTTATTTAACTCTGTTCAACATTAGAGATCAGTGAAAATAATGAAAGATTACCTCCCATAGGAAGCCTGTGTTACAGACACTAGGCATGCTTAGAAAATAGAATACAAAAAGGTCACAAAGGAAGCAAGTATAATTTTTTTAAGATACAGTGACCTATTTATCCAAAGGCTCAGAGGTGGTTCTCGACCAGTGTAAGTAGGAAAACTACTCTTTTGATCATCACTGAGGCTGACACTGTGACATAATATCTGTATCCCAGACATGGAGTCAAGGAGGTTTAATAAATTTCTGACTTCATTCTAGTCCTATTTTTATCTGACACTAAATTTTCTTAGCCAGTGTTGACTCCCAATATCCATTGACACCAATATCCATTGCGTTAAAAATCTAGGGAATTCCTGTTCCTATATGCCCCAAACCAGAAACCTTTACCACAAAGGCCAGGATTCAGAAGAGAAACCATCCAAGAGTAAGTGTCAGCAGCCTGGCTGTTCTGGTTTGTAGGCATCACCAAAGGCACTTCTTTTATTACAATCTTTCAGGCATAGAGTTTGGTGAGCTGGTCCTCAGCGGCAGTGCTAACAACTGCAACCTCTCATTTTCACTAATTTCTTCTTTAGTGGTTCTGTTGGTTTCTAAGCAAGTACTGGGAAGATTGGGGAAGTGGAGGGCTGTTTGGGAAAGCATCTTTTGCTTACAATTGAACAAGGACAAGTACCTGTGAGAGAATTCACTTACTTGGAATGGAGATTCCAGATGCAGAAGTGATGCTGGAGATGCTTCCGCTGGTACCTGCAATCACAGGGAATAGAGATCTATAAGTCATCACTTTAAATGAAGGAAAACACTGAACGTAAGTCATAGGAGGGCTATTGTAGGGCTCATTTGCATGTTTTTTTGAGGTTTTTTCTTGTCCCCAATTGAGGAATAAACAGAAAAACTGAACTCTTAGACATCTCCTTCTTCTGAATTATGGAAATTATCAGGGATAAGTTGATGCTCTCTCATTATTACCTGTATGGCTGCCAGAGACTGGGCTTCCTGGAGCTGTAGTCTTGGCCTCTAAAGATAATAGAGAACATACTTTTGTGCAGCAATGTAAGTATTTGGATTAAAGTATAGGCATCCTAAAACTTGGTAACTCAGACAAAGTGTTATTGGTAAAATTCATCGTGGATTTATTTCAACTGATTAAAAGTGCTGGAAGTCACTCACTACCCCTATTTATTTATTTATTACCTGTTATTGTTACTGCTTCAGTGACTGCAGAGAAAGTTCTGGCCTCTGAAAGGGGAAGAATGAAAAGAGAAGGCAAAATATGAATGCTCTGAGAGGGGGTGGGGGGATCACTAGGGGAACTGATTATTGCAGAACCTTTCTGAGAAGTAGTTCTTCCCCAGTTTTGGTGTTTTACCAGAACTGGAGCTCCCATGTGCAGCAGTTGGAGTCTTGTATGCTCTAGCAGTGCCTGTGTAGGAAAAAGAAAGAGAAGAGCAAGGTGACATTTTTGCAGCCTGGAGGAGAAAGTAGCCAACAGCATCCTTATCAGGGATTTCCAGGGAGCCAAGGACACTTCCTGTCTAGTGACTGTGTATTTCCTGTTGCTATAGTTCACAGGGGAGACATCTTCCATGTCTACCATGTGCTTAGCACAAAGT